GATTCCATGGTTGGCCTATCTTTGTACATCACATTCTCATTGAAAATGACATCTCTGCTTATGATAATCTTCCGATTTTCGTAGTCCCAAAACGGGTAACCGAACTCATCACCACCATAACCAACAAAGACACATTTGTTGGACTTGGCATCAAGTTTACTTCTTTCAGCAGAGTTTATGTGTACATAAGAAATACAACCAAACACTCTTAAGTGTGAAAGGTTTATTTCTTTCTTGCTCTAAACTTCCTCTGGTATTCTGCCATCCAAAGAAACTGAGGGCCCACGGTTGATCAGGTAAGCTGCAGTGTTGATAGCTTCAGCCCATAGAAATTTGGGCAATTCGGCATGTATCCTTATGCTTCTGGCACGTTCATTTAGAGTTCTGTTCATGCGCTCTGCTACGCCATTCTGTTGCAGTGTCATGGGAACTGTTGTCTCCATCTTGATCCCATTATTTGCGCAGAAATCTCTGAATCTTCTATTTTTGTACTCTCCTCCATTATCAGACCTCAACCGCTTAACTTTCAAACCAGTCTCATTTTCCACCATGACTTTTCATTTTCCGAAGGTATCTAAGACTTTTGATTTCTTCTTCAGAAAATAAACCCACACCTTCCTTGTAGAATCATCGATGAAGGTGACATAATATAGTGAGCCTGCAAGAGATGGAACTGGATATGATCCCCATACATCAGTATGAACCAACTCTAACTTTTCAGCCTTGGGTGTCTTACCAATCTTTGCAAAACTGACTTTCTTTTGTTTTCCAAATATGCAATCTTCGCATAGTCTGACATCTACATTCTTTAGATTCGACAGCTTCCCTTTTGACAAAAGTGTCTTCATCCATTTCTTGCTCATATGGCCAAGCCTTTGGTGCCATAGGTTTGATTTTCCATCAGCATCTGCTGTAGCAATGATATTCTCTAAATTTGAGGTTACATAGAGAGTATCAGTCTTCTTACCACGAGCAATGACGAGTGCTCCTTTGGTAATCTTCCATTCACAGCCTGAAAAGGTTGTACTATATCCTTCTCCATCAAGCTGTCCTACAAAAATCAAATTTCTTTTGAGGCCAGGAATATGTCTCACTCTTTTCAGCTTCCAGGTGTTCTGGTTTGGCAACTTTAGTCGGATGTCTCCTTTTCTGACGATCTTCAAGGTTTCATCATCAGCTAGATGAACCTTCCCAAAATCACCACTGACATAGTTCTCCATGATTTCTCGGCATGGGGTAGAGTGGAAAGATACCCCTGAATCCAAGATCCATGATTCAATCAGACTGTTGACGCTTAGAATCATGGCATCACATGTCTCCTTTGTCACGTTGGGAGATTCCTGTGCGCCGATATTTTTTTCGGTGCTCGGCAATCTCTTTTAAAGTGACCCTTCTTGCCGCAGTTATAACAAGTAAAATCTTTCTTCCCCATTCTTGATTTTTTCCTTCTGGATTTGAATCTGCCACGATTTGAATTTCTTTCTGAAGTTCTCCCTCCAGACTCTGTGTGCAAGGCTGAGGAGGTTGATGCTTCATCCGATTCTCTCCGTCGAATTTCTTCACTCAGTACCAGATCCCGAACATCGTCGAATTTTAATTTTTTGTTTCCCGATGAGCTGCTGACTGCTGTAACAGTAGCATTCCAACTGTCTGGTAGAGATGATAAAAGAATTAAAGCTCGAACTTCATCATCGAATTCAATTTCCACTAAACTCAACTGGGTTGTGATTGTGTTGAGTTCATTTAGGTGTTGAGCCACTGATACCCCTTCCGTCATCCGCAAATTGAATAATCGCCTCATCAAATGAACTTTGTTTAAGGCCGATGGCTTCTCATACATACTGGAAAGAGCCGCCATAAGACCCGCCGTGGTCTTTTCCTTTGCTATGTTGAAAGCAACATTGCGGAACAACGTCAGTCGGATAACTCCGAGGGCTTGTCTGTCGAGAAGAGCACAGTCTTCATTCTTCATGCCCTCTGGTTGTTTTCCTGATAGAGGTTAATATAGATTTTTCTGGTACAGAAAATCTTCAATCTGCATCTTCCAAAAGTCAAAGTCCGCACCATTGAACTTCTCAATTTTCACCTTCCCTTCGTCTACAGCCATCGCTCCCACTCGAATCTGGCTTCGTTTGGATCATTTCTGACAATTCTTGCGAACCACCGTGTATTAGAAAACCTCCGTCGACAAGCTCGTTTCGTCGACAAATTTTTTTCACTATTTACGTGAATAGTAATGAATAGTAATCTCGTAAAAAATTAACAAAATTCACAACCAAAAGTTCTGATTACCAGTTGTTGGGAAATAAACGAGTACGAATAATTTCCCTATAACCAGATTAGTGAGAATGCGAAATAAAAGCGGAAAAATAATAACTGAAATTGATAACGGAGTTCAGCCAATTGTGCCTACGTCTCCGGACTGATGTAGATCTTTTACTAAGAGATAAAATTTACAGGTGTTTACAAAACACTCACTACTCACAATAAAACTCTCTAGTATTGGGAGAAAAAAATGATTTGGGATGATTTTGAAGCTAAATAAATTAAGGTATTTATAGTTGAAACTTAAAGGTTAATCTTGTAAATACCATAAAGTCCAATGACTAAAAATAATTTTTCCATACCTAAAATTCAACAAAATTCAACCCCCTAAACTTATTTTCAAGCAGCCCATGTGCTGTTAAATTTTCAACAATAATATCCTCCTCGCTCAAGAAATGATCCATAGAGTGAGGAAATGCAAGGGAAATAATGGTTTAACTGCTATAAAATTGATCTCGAGAAGGTGTACGACAAGATCCGTAGCGATTTCCTCGAGGAAACTCTTGTTCACTTTGCATTTCCCCGTCCTTGGGTAGACGTGTTATTGAATTTTGTTTGAAGTGCATGGTTTTCAATTCTTTGTAATGGTGAGAAAACTGATTTCTTTAGTCCATCTAGAGGACTCCGATAGGGTGAACCTATCTCTCCTTATTTATTTTTACTTTGTATAGAGAGATAGGGTCATTTGATTCAACACGAGGTGGATGTAGGGCATTAGAAACTTGTGAAATTAGGCATGGAAGGTCCGAGGATCTCGCATCTTTTCTTTGCTTTCTTGTTTGGGAAGGCTTCTAATAAACAAGCTCGTGTTATCAAGAGTGTCCTGGAATGTTTTTTCATGCGTCGGGAGCCAAGGTTAATTATGAAAAGTCCAAATTCTTTAACTCCCCAAAAGCTCGATCACAGATTGGGAGGAGTCTTGGACGAGTCCTAAATATGGCATCAACCAAGGATCTGGGTAAATACCTTGGGGTACCGTTGATTCATGGTCGTGTCACAAAAAACACTTATCGCGAGATCGTTGATATCGTTTCTTTGAAGTTAAGTAGGTGGAAGTCTAAACTTTTGAGTATTGCTGGTAGAGCTACCCTAATTAACTCAGTCACGTCTGCTATCCCAAGTTACACAATGTTAACATCCAAGATGTCGGGGTTTATGGTTGAGTGTGTGGACAGGTTGAACATACGTTTTTATGGGGTGGTAATGACGAGAAAAGAGCTACGCATCTGGTCGCGTGGGAGATCTGCTGTAAAGCAAAGCGAAATGAGGGTTTGTGTATATGTAAAATGAGCTTACACAATTCTGTTTTTATGTGGTTCTTCTTAGTGGAGATGGTGGCATTTTGGAGTGTGATCTAGCTTGGATTTGGAAGCTCCAAATCCCTCCAAGATGGAATTTCTTCTTGTTGCTGGCCTGGAGAGATCAACTAATCACGAACGCGCGACGAGCTTCTTGGGTCACAGACTTTCCTTCCAATTGCTCAACGTGTGGCTGTTATAAGGAGGATTTGCTGCACATTTTCAGAGAGTGCAGTGTGGCTCGGCGTGTTTGGGACTAATTTTTGGAGAGTCACCCTCAGGAAAATTTCTTTTCACTTGACATGAAGACTTGGTTTCGTGAGCAACTCGACACCTCCAAGCATCCTCTACTAGGGTTATCTGATAATTAATAGTTTAACAACCCAATATTTTAATTGAACCCAAAACCAAAATTTAGTGTTAAAATTGAATCAAATTTAAGTTCAGTGATAATATTGATAAAACCCCTAAAATCCAGTGACATTTGAGAGAACTTACCATTATACAAGCATGATGTCAGTAAACTTTGCTCAGCTTAGCTACTAAGATTTAAGAAATCGCCTGGTTGGAACATTATCAAAGCCTACGATAGTGGACCGAAATAATTTTATAAAATAATTCTCAATAATTAATTCATTTTAAAGAAACTTTAATTATAAATATAATACATACAGCTGGGAAAAGGGGAAATAAGTGGTTCAAATCATGATTCGTGGATTTCGTGTGATTTGAACTTATTTCGTTTTGAATATGTCAATTGGCATGGGGGTAATGAGAGAAAATAAAGAGATAGTTTGGCAGATTAATTCTTTTTTTTTGTATAATCACCTGTTTTCGATCTATTGATCGATTAATTTAGATCAAGTATTCTAGAGGTGAGGCATATCCCTCAACTCTTAGATTTTTGTTTGATTTATCGTCGTTTAGGTCAGCGCGGAAATAATTTTTCACAGAACCAATCAAATTAGATCAACAGATAAATGGATTAACCTAACCTGTTAATTGATCTGTACCTAACTCATTCACCATTGATTGTTAACTGTTAATTTCTTTCGTTAACTTGTGACTTTATACTTTTTGATATAATTATGTTTTTACTGTATATTTTACTAAATTCTAATCCGAAAGCCTCAGTTTGCATCTTATGTTGCTATAAATTGTATTCATGTTAAGGTGCAAAGTGGATGTGTGTGGGGTGGGGGGAGCTTTAATAAAAAAGAACCTTATCTTTGCTCTTCTTGTACATTGTTTCTCAACAGGTTAAGGTGCATCTCAACTCACTTGAAAATGAACCTTATCTTGTTTCGTTTTTTCTTTCATAATTCAGTAACTTTATTTGATGAATTTGAAAATTTACAGTGGTCTTGAAGACGGTGGAAGTAGTAATGATATTGATTGTCCAAAAATGGCATTGAATTTCAGTCACCAGACAGGAGACACAGAAATTTGATTGTTGAAATATCCTTTGTCTAAGAACAATTACACTAAAGCATTGCCCAGTTAATGTTTATCCCACGATTTTCTACTTGTTTGCTATACACTTTCCTGTGCGGGGAGAGACTGTTCCGATGGCTCTGCCCTGCAGCAGTTGGCAACAGTCTTTTGGTCCGTTTCAGTCAGGCAGTGCCTGCAGGTCGGACACGAAGAATGCGAACCGAGCCACTTATCGATGCATCGAATATGAAATCCGTGGTTGCACCGGGGCAAAATCCGCAGACGTTCCCCTGCAGCAAACTCGGACAAACATATCGCACATGCCGAGTCCAAGCCTGGCAGTTTCAACTCGGATGTGAATTTCACAGTCGGGAAGGCTTTCAATGCACTTTTCTGGACCCCTGATTTTGCCAACTTGGCGTTTGCAGCAACCGAAGTCGAGCATCGAATAGCACACTTGACGATACAAAACAACCCCAAAGAAGTAATGACACTACATACGAGGACCGAGAGAACAAAAATCACATTGGCATCGAAGTTTTTGTTGATGATGACATGATCGTTGTCTAGAGCTGGCGAAATCATCGGTGATTCGATTGAGTAAAGAGACGAATGTTGCAGAAATTTCCTCGGGTGAAAGTTTTCAAACAAGTCCTGTGAGAAATGAGAAGATGTTGAAGAAGTAGACATGTTTTCAGGTGGCTGCAATTGTTGTTATATGAACTTGGTACCACTGAAGGATTATATAAGCATGAAAAAGTTAAATTAAAGGGTAAATTACATGTATAGTACCCCCAACTATCACTTTTATTCTGTTTCAGTGACCAACTATTTTTTTGAATCATTCCTAACATTTGATTTTGGTTTCATTTTGATCACTCACCAGTCACCATTAACAATGATGTTGACTTGACACCATAAGATAATGTCATAACATAATCGGAAAAAAAATACTACATCAATAATTATATTAATTTTTGAACGGTGAATGATTTAAATGAAATCAAAATATAACCTTGGGTATAATTTAAAAAAACATAATTGAGTGACTAAAATGGAACAAAAGTGATAGTTAAAATACTAAATATACAATTTACCCTAAATTAAAAGGTGGGGCCCGAGACTATATTTTAAGGTTAATGCAGCCGTGTATATCTGCCACTATACTTTTTTGTTTTTCATGATCTTGGGCATGGTTTTTAGAATCGGAATGGTTAGTGAACCGGTCATGTTATCGGTTTATTGGTTCAATTAGTTGAATTGATTTGACCGATCGGAAGAACTGGATGATGTCATAATTATTTTAAAAATTAAATAAAAATACCAAAAATATTTAATAAAAACTAATTTTTTATATCACAAGTTATATTCAAAGCAAGTCATAACATATATAAGTTAAAAACCATAAAATCAAGTGAAACAAAATGATTCAAATTAACTACAACATAATATTTAAGGTAAAACATATTAAATAATAAATATAATTATATAACTATAATTAAAAAATAAATTTGGGGTTAAAAAAATCGTAACAAAATGATATTGTTTAGTTTAAATTTTTTTAAAAAACAATATCACATGGCTAAAAAACATAGAAGAGCATCCCAAAAGTCTAAAGAGTAAAAATATGAGAACAAAACAATTTCACATTGCTAAGAAACATAGAAGCGCATCACAACTAACTTCTATAAATAATAAAGGTAATTTGGCATTCAAAATCATGGAGACTTTTGGTGAGCATTGAGTGAACTATTCTTTCACTTCAATCATACTCGAATTTTAGGCTTCAATCGAGCTTCTAAATTTTTTTTAGTTCAAGCCTTTTTGAGTTCAAGTTTCAATATTATATTTCGAGTTTGAGTTGAATTTGATAATTTTTAGCTTGTGAGTTTGAGTCGAGTTGAGCTTACTTTTAAAGTTTTTAAGTTCGAGTCGAGCTCAGCAATACTCGAGTTCGACTTGACTCGTTTAACAAACGACGTTGTTTGGTTTAATTTAAAAAAAAAACAAAAATCCCAGTTTTCAGCCGGTTTGGTTCGAATAGTTCAGCGGTTCTGACCGATTCACTAATAACGGTTTAACCGGTTTAGATTGAACCGGACTAAACAACGATTTCTGGTTGAACCGGCCGGTCCGGTTTTCAAATCAGAGATCTTGGGAAAGAAACAAGTTTTGATCCCATCAAATGAAAGCTCAGTCACGAACCAGTGGTGCTGGAAAGGACATGAACGGATGAAACATGTTGGGCTGTCGGACTACGAGCTTATAATGGATCTCTTCTTTTAGAGATTACAGATTGACCCAAATCTTTAATAATAATGTAGTGGTTTTGGTTCTTAACAAGCAAATTGGCTGTCCGAAACAAAAGTGAAAGCCGCAATTTGCAGCTATGATTATTTGGATACACTTGTAAGGTGTTAGATATAAGCCAATGATATTCATGTACATTAATCACAGTGGAAGTTGCTTTATCTTCTCTCGCAAGTGGCCAACCCCTCAAACTAATGCAAATGAGTAGCACTTTATAATAAATAATATATTATATATTGGTGGGTAATCCGAAATCTAGTAGATAAGATCTGGGGTGTGTTTGTTTTGATGTCATTTCCAGCTTTCCAGCACAGGGGAAAAAGGGAAGTAAAATAAACAAGCTTTTTGAGTAGAGCAGAATTATTCCAGGCACACTGGGGCCGTTTTTTAAATTGCCAAATTGGTATAATCAAAGCTTGGTGTGAATCTATCTTATGATACTGCATAATATTTGTGTTTGTGTTTGTGTTCGTGTATACCACTAAATGAATCCATATCCTCTTGGTTGGATCGCAGTGATCTTCTTTTGTTTGGAAACCTGTAAACAAATAAACACTAGCTTCTAATAAAACCACAAGACTGGAGCTTTGGTTTGTACAGGTCCCCGTCATCCAATATTGCCGAGTATATTAACATATGGGTTGTAAATGGAAGCAGATATATTTTAAGTTATTCGAACTTGATTTGATTAAACTAATTCGACTCATATAGAATTTGATAGCTTCTAAATGAAGGGGGTAATTATCTATGATCTTACACGATCACAATTAGATTTGGTTACAAAATTAAGCCACTCTCGCGGCTCTAAATTAAAGTTACATAACCTATGAATTTCTTAATGAAAAATATGTGGTCCAATTCCATCATTAAAAAAAACAAATAACTTAAGGGGTATAAAATAAAACTAAATATGTTCCTTATCCAGTACCTATGCTCTAAACGCTACTTTTAAGACGAGAAAAGGTACTTTGGCTATAGAAAACAAGATTGATATCTATATGCTTACTGATAAATAAAAGAAATGCCGTATACTATAATGTATTATAATATTGCTATTCCTAGAAGTTTTAGGGTCGAGCATTAAATGTTATAAAACATTTGAGTGTTCATTATCAAATGGTTGAGAGTCTTTAGAACGGATATTACCATTTATATATATATATATCTCATTACAATTGGGGTATGTATTATGTGATTGGACCAACTTATATTTAGGAATTGCAAATTCTCTATTTTTTTTATTTTAGAATCAAATTAAGTTATTTGAATATGAATCTACGTAAGTAACTATATTGATTAGGGCAATGAATATTCAAGAGGATTTATCTGCATTTACTCTAAATCCATAATAAATAATAACTTAAATATCTAACTAAAAGAATGAATCTAAGATCCGAACATCTAATCCTCACTTTATAATTCTAAGATCTTAGACAAGAATTCTAAACTTAAAAGAGTAAAAAAAAAAAAAAACTCCTCTATTTGAACATACTCATTGCGCAATATTTTAATATTACATTCATAAAGAGAAGATGTTGAAAATGTAAGATTTCACCTCTAAACTTATTAAATGTAGGTTTAAAAAATTATATGAATCAATTCACATTCATGACTACAATCTCTCTCAAAACTGGTGACGGACATTTTTTTGTCATTAAGGGTCAATTTGACAGATTTTTTTAAAATATAACTTTTAAAAGTGCAGTAGAAAAAAACTTTTTAAAGTGCTGCTTAGATGTATTATTTAAATGTGTAGTTCAAAATTTAATTGTTGATATTGTTGTTAAAAAGTGAGTTTGAAAAGATAAAATATTTATTATAGACCTTATGTTACAAATTAAAAAATATAAATATAAATTATATTTACACTTATTAATACTATGATATAAAAAATTTATCAACTTTAATTTTAAAAAATATATTTCAACTTAAACTATAATAAAACTATAAAAAATATTTTAAGATAACTCATTAATAATATTTTTATAAATGAAATAATTTATTAAGAAAATACATATTATCAATACTTTTTAACATGTATAAGATTATTACTAAATAATATATATATAAATATATATATATTATAAATAAATTTAAATGAAATTATCATTATATATGAAATATATCAATTTATATTATAATAAAAATATAAAATTATAATTATAATTATAATTATAATAAAAAAATATTTTTATAATAATTCACTATTAATATTTTAATATATAAACCATGAATTTTATTTATTTTTAAGTAATTAAAATAAATTATTAAGAGATAAATTATTTTTCAAGGATGTTAATATTAAATTATTAAAATAAAATATAAATACATAATCGAGTAAGGATAAAAGTATAATCTACTTCTAAACGCAAAATTGAAAAATAAAAAAACTACAAATCCTAACTTTCACAGTTGATTTAAAATTACCGTTTTCACCACATTTTATTTTTATTTTTTACCTGTTTGATATTGATTTTACAGTAAAAAACGAATTTTTTAACTAAAAGTGCTTTCAGAAAATCAAACCAAAGTAACTAAACGTGCTTACATTAACCGGATGTCTAGGAATATTAGGATGGTCGATGGATATTGAAAGACAATTTGAAAGGTGAATATCCCACAAGAAGTGTGTATTCCTATGGTTTCTTAGTCCTAAAAGATTATTTACCAACAATGAGAGATTCTTCGACTCAAAATTTATAGATTCAACTATACTAAAAAAAATTCAAATCACATTCAAGTTGTAGAATAAAACTCGTCAACTTGAATAACTCAAAATTTGTTGAGTCGATTCAATAGACCGCTCATCCCTATGACGGATTGATAAAGAACATACCAAAACCAGTCATTCGTTCATATGAAGCAGCAAGCAAACTGAGAGCCTATTGGATGGGATTAACTAATTAATCACACACAGCAACTAAGTCGTGCATTCCCACCAAAAATCAAGAAAATCAATGGCACAGTCAAATCACTCCACTAAAACGGGACAATGTTTTGGAAGATGCAGCTTAAAATAATGCCTCACAACAACACTTGAGATGCAGATAACCCATGAATTGTCAATGTTAATCATATCAATTCCAAAAGTGCATTATTATTATGATGTGCAACATCAACTCGGCCTGAAATCTGACCACACATTACAGAAAATTACAACAACAAAAAATAAAATCCTTCCTGTCTCGATACTTTGATGACCAAACTTGCAACTCATTCTTCAGGAGAATCTGAGCGGAGAGCTGATATTAAACCAAGAAAGATTATTCATCAGAATACTTTCATTAAAGGAAAATAAAGATATAAGCAAAACATTATTCTGAGAATGGATTAAAAGAACTATAGCAGAAGAGACCGATGAGAGTAATAGTATTCTACAGATCATTTGAATTACATGGTAAGCTTATAATCACACACCACTCACACATGGCGTGATCCAAGACAAATGAAGATGTAGTTAAACTCTAAGAGAGGAGTAATTTGATCAAACAAGAACTTTTTTTATTTTAACATTTTTGCAATTACACTGATAAATAATGTCTGACAAAACGAAAAGCATACAGAAACTGAGAAAATCATTCACATAAAGAATGATATAAAGTATGAGTATCATAGAGATCTGCAGAAGACTAATCCTTTTCATCTCTTAACCCATGTAAATAATGTGTTAGCAACATGATGAGAAAGCACGAAAACAATTTGAATTGTGGGAATGACACAAGATTCATACCAAAATAAACTTCATCACTTTAAACAAGATTTGCTGTTCTCAATATCTTTCTCATAATAGATTTCAAAGGGTAGACTAGAAGCCAGTGACACAATTCAATGATCAGAGTTGGTAAGGATTAATAAAAGCAAACTACATGTGACAAAATTTGCTCTGATCAACTTTTCGCAAAATATGTTCAAGTAAACCCACATAATATGAGCTTTGTGTGATCAAGCAGTATATTAAAGAATCTAAATCACAGTCCACTGCAATAGTTGTCTTTTAATCAAGGAAAGTTCCCCAACAAACAAAGAATTTGGAAGCTGCAAAGCACAAATTAAATTGCTGCGAAAACCCAGCCAAACTAAACATATTGCATCACATTGATTCCGAAAGGGGTACGAAAAAAATATAACAACTTGGTTGTAATTACGGATTGCACTCACATAATTATTTAATTTTATTTTAAAAAATTAGAGAAAGTAACAACAACTAAACCCCCCAAATTAAAACATTTTAGGGTTTCAGTTTAACTTCAATCTCGACCCTCTTTTCTCTATTCATTAATCTTCTTTTTGGCTACAAAAGTTAACAATAAAAAACGCGAGATTAAACGGATTTCAAATATATAAGACATTAGATATAGCATCATTCGCAATCCTAACGAGACAGAGTTAAACCTTTTATTAGACAAGATAGCAACGAAATTATAGAAAATGAATCAGAAATGACAAAGAGAAAACCCAGATCTGAGATAATACGAAGAAGATGGTAAAAAGAGACATACTGGGCTTCTCAGGCTTGCCATCGGTCCACTTGGAGATGGAGAAATGGACTTTCTCACGAGTAACGGCTTCCGTCTTGTAAGGTTCCTTCAAGCAGTTCCTCACGAGGTTGGCGCATATGTTGGAGTAGGTAATGTAAGTCATGCCGGCTGCACGCCAGAACGGCACCGCCGCATTGGACGCCATTTTTCTTCTTTCCTGGGCTGTGTTGTGGCCACGAGTACTGTGAAACTGTGGGAATTAGGAGAAATATTCGATTTTCTTCTTAAGGTTCTAACAGCCGATGCTCCATGGGGGCTATTTTATTATTTACGGTTCTGGGCCTATGAGCCTGGGCTTCAATATACCAATAAACATTTATCAATTGGGTTAATTCATCTTACATCCCTACATAATCGCTTAAATTTTAAAAAGATAAACTACACGTTTAATATCTCAATTATTACTTTTGTTTTTTTTGTTTTGATCACGTAATTATTTTTTATCAAATCATACCTAATGTATAGTATTAGTGTTTTTTTATCACCCACTGTTTAAAATTAATAAGATCGCTAATGTGACATTTTTTAAAAATATTTAAAGATGACATGACATTATCTTATAATGATAAGTCAGCATCACTACTAATTTTTTTAAATATGGGTGACCAAAATAAAAGAAAAACTAAATATTAAGTATGATTTTGGGAAAAGAGTTGAGTGATCAAAATAGAACAAAAATAAAGGTTGGGATACTAAACGTGTAGTTTACCTAGTTTTAAATTAATGATATTGAATTGGTGCACTAAAACAAATTTAAACATATTAAAAAATAACTAGGTGATCTAGTCAGATGAGGCATTAGATCCCTTAAGCAATGTCAGAGATTCGAATTTTGACCATTTTAAATGGAGTAAATTGGATTTCAGTGGAGCATCAAAGTGAACCGTTGCATAGGTTGCAGTGAGTGGAGTTTAGCTATACCATCAACAACGATTATTCCCCTCACGGAAAATTTAGAGGATTTTAGTGACAACTAGACCTCCTCATCATGAAAAAGCAATGTCGTCATCAACAACAAATCACTCAAATACGACTAGATCTCTTCAACACAAAGGAGTAATGTCGTCTTCAAAAGCAAATCATCCAAGAATGACCAGACCTCCTCAACTCGAAGGAGCATTGTTGTTTTCAAAATCAAATTATCTCTAGACAATTAGACTTCCTCAATACGAAGGAATAATGTTGTCTTCAGACACATAATCATTCAAACGTGACTAAACATCCTCAACACGAAGGAGCAACGTCGCCAACAAACCCGACGTCCTCAAACGAAGGGTCGAATCATTAAAAAACGATTAGACTTCCTCAACATGAAAGAACATATTGTTTTGTCTCGCTCGAGACATTTTCTCTCAAAAACACAACTTTTGATAATATTTTGTTTAAAGAAATAAAATTCATTTTCTTTTGAGAATGTTTCTCTCGAAACATAACCTTTAAAACTGTTTTCCTTAAAAAAAATCTCTCTTTGTCTTGATTATTTCCTTTCGAAATAAATAGTTTATTTTCAGTTTCACTTGAAACAACAACGAATTTCAAAACAAAAGTTGGAACTGAACAAAAATTCATCTTTTTGTCTTTGCCATATCCTTGTTAAAACAAGAATAGGCAAGGAGGGACAACTATAGACACTAATTTTCGTTCGGACTCTAGTTCAAGTTTCCGTTTCATGTTTTGAATGTTCATTTTTTATTTATTGATATATATATATATATATATATATATATATATGAGTTTTGATTATTAGTTGTATGTTGGTTATTTTAGTTTAATTATGATCATATAATTATTTTAATTATTAAATACATATTAATAAACTAAATATTAATTTTTTATGCCTTTTTTTGTTACATGGACAAATCACTTTGCAAATTCATTTACAGCCCAGTTACAGAATCAACAGTCCCCTAATTGTACATCAAGACCCGTTACAAGAGACCCATGTGTAGCAACCTAAGACAAAGCTCAAGAGAGGCCCGCATGCAAGACCCATCAATAGCTAGGGTTTGAGTTTCTTCTCCAAGGTCGCGAAACAACAAGCGTTGGATCTGGACCTATCCAGCGATCCAGGTCAATAGTGGCGTCTACGGTTTGTAAACCCTATCTTCAACATTACCACCGTCAGAGCCTTCTCAAACCTTCTAGATTCCCTACACGCTTGGTAGAAACCAGCTCTAACTCACGTGCAGTAGACGCGCTGGTGGTACCGAGTCACCCAGACACACCACATCACCAGCAATCTTCACGTGTAACCTCAATGACAATAAAAACCTAATCATTTCGGTTGTCCCTCTGCAAAATTGGTTGTTCGCATGAGGCTTCCTAACGTGGAAGATACCCGGTGCAGTTTCCTAACGTGTAGGGACTTCTTCTAATTTGCTTTTCATTTTTCAAGAAAAAAAAGAATGTATTTGATGGTTTTTCATTGCTTGAGCATGCTGAGAGTATTCATCTGAAAACCGATATGAAAACCATGAAGTGTGAAATTCAGGTCCACTCTTTTGACCGATTGAGATAATCATCATTGCTGATTTTGTACATAAATATGCAGAATCTCGTCTTATTCAAACTGTGTAGCAATCTCGATCAAACAAGCGATTCTTCAATGACTTTTGACATGTTTTTAACCGTAATTGTTTAATGTTTGTGATAAGCAGTTGTGAGGGGCACAAGGGATAAAGATTATATTTTTGCTTGTTATATCTATTCTTATATCATCGGTACATTTACTTGTGCAAGAGATCCAAGGTTTAAAGATGAGTAATTAGAGAGTTCATTGCATCCAAGGCTTGTATTTACCTCTGATGTTGTTCTCGATTTTGAATGCTTCGCATGTTTTCTTCTCCCAGGTTCAGAGATTGGTGGCAAAAAGGTATAACTTGTACAAACGTTTACCATCACTTAAACGTGGTCATTTACTCGATAGCAGACATTACTCTGCGAATGGCATTCACATCTATGGTTTATGTCAAAGAAAGTATCTAGGGTATCTTAGGTTTTTGTGGAAAATGGAAGAAAACTCCAACATAATAATTGAGAAATGGACCACCACAATGGCATGGGACCAAATTTGAAAAAGGTACACATCTTTATATGTCTATTCCAGATTTTGGGTGAGTGCAAGCTTTAGGGCAGCATGTTAGACAAAATGCAGTGATTTATTGCCAATGTCATCACTGTAGCAAATCTTACTATGCTCGGAAGTTGGTACATCCTATACCTTTACGAGAATAACATTCCCTTTCAAGCTACTCAATGATAGGGTGTCATGAACTGCCTGTTTATTTTGCTCATAAGCATTAGTAATTTTAGAGAAAAGTGACTAAAATACAACAAAGTAAAGGCCGTCAATCATATGATTGAGCAGAATCATTCTGTCATCATAAAATAACAAAGAAAAATCAGTCTCCATTATCCAAGAAATTCCCATATTCTACAATTACAATTCCCAAAAATAATAAAGTTGCGCAGACACAAAATCCCTTGACCTAGCCTACAATACTATATGTGGGAAAAAAGGTTAGTACATTGAGACATTATTAACTAAGATTATTACAATTTTGAAGGAAGCCCCTGAATCTGATCTAATCTAATAATAGAATCCCCAAATTTTTAAACCCAAAACTTGATTCGGGTGTTGAAAAAATAGCTAAAAGTTCCAAATTTGAGCAAAAATGTCGGAATTTGGAGAAGGAATTAAAAGCCCCGAGAGCAATGCTGAAGGGCTAGCCATGAACCCACTTCCATGTATCATCGGGCTCCAATAGTGCCAAGGCGACATCATTCTCGCTTCCGAAGCTGGTGTAAAGAAAGTCCCCGTCGACCCCGCCGGCAACGTCTCCGGTGCAGGCGAAAGTATCCCCGTCGGCGGTCGAATCAGACCCTCTTCCATCCTACCATCCCCCATAATCCCCGAGTCCAGTATCTTCTCTCTCGGACCCGGACTCGCCTTTTCCGTCACTGCCAACCTCGCCACAGGGGATAAGTCGCCGGCTCCAGAGTTGCCGAATGAAAGCCCCGTGTAGCGTTGGACGATGGACATGAACTCGGATTCTTTGGCGTGGATGACTTTGGGTGAGACGGCATAGATGATGACAGGCTGACGGCGTTGATCAGCTGCTGCTGCTGCAGCTAGTAGAGGGTCGGAAACTGCGGCGTGCGGTGGTGGGTGAGGCGGTTTTCTGATTTTATGGGAGTCTTTGTTGACTTTGAGTGGAGTTGGTCGCGGACCTTGTGTCGTAACCGGTTTTCGTCCGGACACGAAATATTATATTTGGCAGGGAAATTGATGTGAATAAATAATTTTGAAAATAATTTGTGAGTCGCCATCGGCCTTTTGGATCAGGTAGATCGAATACCTAAAAATTATTTTTTTTAAAAGAGTTTTAAGAAAACATCAATTAAAAAAAATGAACTGATCTGCGTTTTATAACCAAAAATTCGTTCTTTTTAATAATAAAAAGGGATTCGTGGTCGGTTACGTTTAGGGAATGATTAGCACCCCTACAACGCCCAAGATTGGTACATTTTAATTATAAATTGTCTCTATTATTAAAATTTAAAAATTTAAAAATATATTTAATTTATAATACTATTATTTCAAAATTATATAAAAAATATTTATTTATTTAAAAATATTAGAAAAGAACTTCTAGGTGCCTTAAGACAGCTCTTTTCTTTGATATTGATAAATATTAATTTAAATAATATTGTTTAAAATATCAGAATAGGACATCCAGTTGTATTAAGACTGTCCTTTTCTTCGATATTAAAAATAAATATTTAAAAATTACTATTTATTATATATATATTTATGAATACATAAAAATATTTAAAAATATAAACAAATAAAATAAAAATACCACTAAAACAATATATTTTAAAAACAGTAAAATAAATGAAAACATATAAAATAAATGACTAAATTACAGTAAAATTAAAATTAAAAATCTAATTCATAATTAATCAAAATTATAGGGATTAAACATGCTATTTCTTTATTTTATTTATTTAGTGATTAAAATAAAATTATCTAAAATTCGGATATTAGAATAAAATAAATTAAAAATATAAACTAAGGATTAAAATATTATTTATTAAAATTAAGGGATTAAATCTGTTATTTATCCTAAATATATTATTTTAATATAAAGGACTAAAATAAAAGAAATTAAAATTAAAGATCTTAATTAAAAGTATTATAAAATCGATTTAGTGACTAGAATGTAAAAATTACAAATTCGGAGGACGGCGGACGGGGTTTAACTATTATCTAATTACACGCATAGTCCTTCCCGAAACGACGTCGTTCGGGAAGGCCTATATAAGGTCCAAAACCGGCTGGCCCGAAGGGCCAGCCTTCATTTTATTTTTTTCTTTCTCTCTCAAGCCGAGAGAGCTCTGACCTCTCTCTAGATTCCCTCATCGGAGGGAAGCCGGTCACCGGACGGCAACCGTCTGCTGCCGTGACCGTCATCGCCGGCCACCGCATCCGGTGGCCGGAAAATTTTATTTTTACACCATTAAATAGATCGGGACGTCCTAAGGACGTTTCCGGTGTTCTTTTTCCTTAAAAAGCTCCTAATCGGAGCGAATCTACAAAAGTACCTTCGGTGTTTCGAAGGTTCCGGTGAGATCCGGTGGTCGGGGCTTCCTCGGTAAGTTTCTTTTCTTCCTTTTTCTTTCTTTTCTGTTTCTTTGCTGCTGAGATCGTTGGTAGTATTTTGTATATTTTTTTTCCTCGGTTTTGTCTCTCTGGGATCTGTTCTCTGTCTTCTTCTTTCTTTTTCATTTTTTTTTCAGGTTCGGGTGGTGGCTTTTATAGCCACCACCGGTGTGGCCATCGGACCGGTCCGAAGAGGGGGTTTTGGTGAGTCACCGGACTACCAGTGGTGACTCACCCCTTAGCCATGGCGTGTGGAGGGCAGCTGGGTCTTCTGGAGCCTTCGGTTGGGACGTGGCAGCGGCGGAGGCGGCGAGAGCAGCAGCGGCGGCCGCGTGGCCCTAGGGTATCATACCCTAGGGTTTCCATCTGGAGCCATCTGGACCGTTGGATCTTGCCAGATCCAACGGTCAATCTGAGGCGGCTGGCTAGATTAGGGTTAGGAAACCCTAACTGAAACCCAAATGTTTAGGGTTTCTGGTTGGTCTGGACCGGTTCTGGTTTGTTTGTAACTGGGCCGGTCCAGTTGTAATTGGGCCTGTAATTAATTATTTATATATGTATTTAATATATATTTAATAATAATAATAATAATGATAATAATAATGATAATAATAATGATGATAATAATAATAATAATAATAATAATAATATGGGTAAAAAATTAGTATCTTCAGCTGCCCCTCTTTGCTCATTCTTGTGTTAACAAGAATAGGGCAAAGATGAAAAGATAATAAAATTTTTTATCCATTTGGCTTCACTTGATCATAATGGAGATATTGAATAAATTCTTCTCTCTCTCCAGATGAGTTCTTCTCATTATGAACTTTCTGCTGGGGATGATGATGACCTCCTTTTTTCTGTGATAGAGTCATTCAAAAGGTTGAATAAGCTTTTGATGAGTTCTTCTCATTATGAACTTTCTCTAGAAAGGCTGATGCTAATCTATCTCCTTCTGTGATAGAATTATTGAACAAGTTCTTCTTATTATAAACTTCTTCTTTCTTCTTCAGATGACGAGTTCTTCTCATTATGAACTCTACTTGGCAATGTTGATCCATCAAATGATGAATTCAAGCAAAAGATTGAACAAGTTCTTCTCATTATGAACTTCTTCTTCCTTCTTCAGATGAGTTCTTCTCATTATGAACCTTCTCTGGAAAAGCTAATCCATCAATTTGATGAATTCAGGTAAAAGGTTGAACAAATTCTTCTCATTATGAACTTCTTCTTCCTTCTTCAGATGACGAGTTCTTCTCATTATGAACTTTCTCTGGAAATGATGATCCATCAAATGATGGATTCAGGTAAAAGGTTGAACAAATTCTTCTCATTATGAACTTCTTCTTCCTTCTTCAGATGAGTTCTTCTCATTATGAACTTTACCTGGCAATGTTGATCCATCAAATGATGAATTCAAACAAAAAGTTGAACAAGTTCTTCTCATTATGAACTTCTTCTGGCAATGTTGATCCATCAAATGATGAATTCAAGCGAAAAGTTGAACAAGTTCTTCTCATTATGAACTTCTTCTTCCTTCTTCAGATGACGAGTTCTTCTCATTATGAACTCTATCTGGAAAAGCTGATCCATCAAGTGATGGATTTGAATCTTTGCTAAAATCTTTGAAATTCCTGTTAAAAATTCAACATAGATGAAAATGAATGAAAATGCACCTATTTTTGTAAACACCTAAAATATGATGCATGAATGTTGAGTTATTTGATTTCAGATTGGTGAATTGAGTATTTCTTCAATTGTAAAACCCAATAGATTTTTCTTCTTCAAATGAGAGAATCTATCATCTTTGACAAATGTAGATATAATGTCACAAAATCTCTTGAGAATAAAACTCAATAGTATAGGCTCTTGAAAAGCTTGCATTCAGGCAACATGTTGATTCTGATAACAACTCATCTGATTATGAAATGACCTTTCAAGATGATTTCACAGATATTGATAGTTCTTTTAATACCGAAAAATCTTGAATTCTAATTCTGATGAGGAGAATAAACTGTTATACTTGACAAAAATGGGATTCTCAGAGGCTGAAACTTCAAATAGCCCTGAATAAATGTGGTCCAGATTCATCAATTGCAAAATTGATAGATTTTATATGTGCTGCTTAAATGACTAAGGCTGCTGATGCACTTTTTCTGGTAAAAGATAGGAAGTCATTATGCAATGATCCCAATTACAAGCAAAGGCGAAACTTGGGCTATGATTTTTGAAAAGGAAGAAGCAGAGGAAACTTGAAAAGAAGCTTCTTAATGAAGACGATCATGCAGTTCATCTTTCAATTCCAATGATTGGTTCTGTAGTTCCTACCAAACCAGATCAGATAACTCAAAGAACACTTCCAGAAGATGCTATTGAGTTTCCTTATTTCTACTATGAGCAAATTCATCTTCCAAATTCAATGATTGGTTCTGTCTAACCAGATCAGATAACTCAAAGAACACTTCCAGAAGATGCTATGAGCACATTCATCTTCTAAATTCAATGATTGGTTCTGTCTAACCAGATCAGATAACTCAAAGAACACTTCCAGAAGATGCTATGAGCACATTCATCTTCTAAATTTAATGATTGGTTCTGTCTAACCAGATCAGATAACTATGAGCACATTTATCTTCTAAATTCAATGATTGGTTCTGTCTAACCAGATCAGATAACTCAAAGAACATTTCCAGAAGATGTTATTGGCAAATTCATCTTTCAGTTAATGTTTGGACTAGGATATCATAATGCTTATTTGATGTAGAGCCAGAATTTGTAGATTCGAAGCATTTCCATGCTACTACACTGAAAAGGGCTATATTCATAATTCTGCCAATTAAGAACAGAGTTTCTCTTATTCTGCTTCCTCCATGTGCTGATGCTTTTCCATTGACAAAGAAATGATGGCCTTCTTGGAATCCAAGAACAAAGTTGAATTGTTTATAAACATGTACAGGAAGTGCCAAATTGACAGAAAGGATCTGTAAGGTTCTTGAAGCTTATGACAATGAGCCACCTTCGAGTATCCAGAAGTGTGTTCTTGATGAGTGCTGAAAATGGAATCTAGTATGGGTAGGAAGGAATAAAGTTGCTCCACTTGAACCTGATGAGGTGGAAATACTTCTAGGTTTCCTTAAAAACCATACACAAGGATCTGTATAGAGATATGTTTCCCATTGATATCAATGTCTTGTTTCTTTTTGCTGGAATCAGTGCTGCAAAGATCGCCTTCTACTGTCTTAGTATATCTTTGAAAACAGATGTGCAAGAACTGAATGGTGATCGGTTGGAGCAATTGATGAGTAGATTTGGCGGATTCGACCTTGTTGTCGGTAACATCCCGTGTAACAATCTTAATGTTCATGGCTTTAAGATGGTGATGATTTGCTTACTTTATATTCCATGTATGTAAAAGTATTAACATAAAGTAATATTCAGAAATCTTTAAATTATTTCAAAATTATGTTAATTTAATAGAAAAGAATAAATTGAATTTTCAAAAATAAATTGAATCTCAAATAAATTGAACTTGAAATAGATAGAATTGTATTCAAAGTCATGACAAGCA